GGTCTTTGGATCCAGACCTCACTATTAAATCAAGACAGCATGAAAAATGTGAATGAAAGGTTCTAAGAGAACTGCTCAAGGAAAGAAGAATTTTGTTCAGGTGATTTGACATAATTAAATCAACTCACCCATGTGAAAAAGAGGTTTTTCTGGTCAGGAAATAGGAGTTTGTGGTTTGGATGTATTTTTTTTTTTCAATAGTTGATTTTAACCAACTGGATAAATGCAAAGACAGAAGTTGTGGTAAAATGATATGGCACGCTCTGTTAATTTCATTTTAAGGATCTAGTTTTGTTTTCTTCTAAAATCTATGAAATTCTGAACATGTACAGCTTCTGCTCCAGAGAAGCAGTGTTCAGAATATGACACAAAATGGTTATCATCTTAATTTCTTCAAACAGAATTTTGTAGCCTATTAGCTTTGATCATGGTGACTTGTAAGGGTGTGTGAACTGCTGAGCCTGGTTTTCCTAAACAGCTGGAATTTTTGGCCAGACTTTAGAGCTTGAGAGTAAGCCCTCAGCATCCAGATCTTCTGGAAGGACAGGAGTGGATGATAAGAGGTGAGGACCTTAGTAGCCATGGTGTGCTGTGGGTCATAGGATGAGAGAGAGGTTTTAACCTTGGCTGCCTTCAGTCTCACCAGCAGTGCAGTTGTACCCATCCCCGTAGTGTTTGGGCAGCAGGGACAAGGTTGTCCTGAGCAGCTGCTGGCCAACCCCTCGGAGTATCAGTCTGTGCTTGCAGCAGACAAAATGAGGCTATTTTTGTACCTCATAGATTGCAGAGCAAAGGCGGGGCCACTTAAAAGAAGCTAAGCGCTGTAAGAAAAAAGAAAAAAAAAAGCTGTAAGAAGTGCTAACAGGTTCATAGACTGGACCTGTTCCTTGCATTAGTAAGAAAGTAACTTATCAGCAAGATATTCAACTTGTATTAGATGTGTAAAGTAGTGTTGCTTCCCAGATGTGACACAACCAGCCTGTTAATAGTTGTGATCATGCAGAAGGCAGTTGTAACCTGGCCAAATCCAAAACTGAATTCATTTTGTATCAACACTAGCATAATTCAGACCAATGTAAACCACTTGTTTTCTGGCCTGAATAGTTGGGAAGGTATCTGTGTGAATTGCCTAGCACTTCTTGTCATAGTGTGATTTGTTAAAATACTTTGGAAGAAGTAAGATACACTAAAGGCATGCAAAACTGATTTATCTAATATACAGCTATTCAATTTTCCTTTAAAAAAAATGAGTCCATGAGGAAGAATTCCTAATTAGGAATTAAGAGTTCTTAGGAGTCCAAAAAAGAATTTGTCTATCCTGATAGGCCAACTGTGATTGACAAATAGTATTTTTAGGCATTGATGCCTGTATATAAAGAGGAGAAGAAATTCCTGGGTGTTTACTATGTGTCTGATGTGAAAGATGCCATTACTGTGGTGGTGGATTATGCTAGGAATGCAAGTTAAATGTCTCAAAGAGGACACATTATGCTGCTGAACAGCTGGTCTTTTTCCCAGACTTGGAACTCTGACCTCAAAAAGCATCTTAATATTAATGGGCTTCAGGAAAACTGGAAAAAAAACCCAACACCCCTATGAGCAAGGTTTCAGGATGATCAGATACATGAATTTGTCCGTATTTGTATAAGAAGAGAATTTGTAAAAAGTATTTGAAGAGAATTCTGTCTAAGAATAGTGTTAGCAGGGCAGCCTGCTCCTCATTTTTATTCAGTGTAATATTTTGCTCTATTCTGTCTTCCTCGTCTAACTCCTGCAAAACCCTTCCTCATTGTGCATCTCCTGTGCTCTGTTCCTAACAGTTATCCCCACTGCCTGCCTGCAGACAGTGTGAAAGACAGGCTAACAGGTTCTGGGCTGTGACAGGGTTGTCATGCACTGTTGACAACCCTGGTTTGGTCTTTTTTACATGGTTAGGATTTGAAACAGCTTAAAAAATGCCAAGTTATGATGTCTGTTCCTGCTTGGGTTTGTGTTGTTTGAAGTTTTTCTTTTTTACAGATGTTCCTCTCCATAAAATAAGATGTCCTGTTGTGCGGAGTGTCATGCGACGTGATAGCTGAATGTCTTGGGTCACTGTTCCATTGCAGGCAGGGGCAGCAGGCTTATTTAGTCCTTTAACTCCTACCTCCAGGGCTAAATCATGTTGGATGCAGGAAGCATTTCCTTAACAATTGTTTTCTTTGCTGTTACAAATAGAGCAGTGGTAGATGTCATACTCTTGAAACATGTAGAGTTGCTTTTTTGTGCAGCATTGTTTGAAAAATAAGTGCTGTGGGGTTGGTTGGTGTGGTTTTGGGTTTTTTTTTTTTGGTCAGCACACTGTAAAACCCACAGAAGTTCCCCTCTTCTGCCAGCGTTTCTCTTTTTCTAGGGTTATAAGAAAACAAAGCATGAAAAAAAAAATGGTGCAGTGTTAGCTGTATCCAACCTTATTTTGGGTATTTCAATTTTGTCAACAGTCAAAGAATATTTTTGACCAAAAAAGAATTCAAGACAGACCCACAATAATATTAGTGACCTAAAGAGCTTCCTGTGTTATAAACAACACTTACTAGGTAAATATCTTCAAGACAAGAATTTGATAGTATGCCAGGTTCAGAAGTTATATAGCAAGGATAAAATTACTAGTCTTTCTAGGAGTCACATCCTAGTGAGTGGGGGAAAAAATATCTTAGAAGATACTTTTCTGGTAACTTGGTGCTACTGCAGTTAATATGTTACCATGAGTTTGTAGAATTTCAGATGTTTAGTCTAAAATTAGAATTATTTGTAAGTTTTTACATTTGTCATTAATCAGATTCTTTCAAGGGACTTTATCCCAAGCTGGTGACTATCTCATAACTGAAAGTCTAGATGCTGTGCGATTCTAAAGGATTGCAAAAACTTTGAAAAATGCTGAAAAAATGAATAGGTCAGAAGAATTTATTTCTTGCTCCTTTTGCTCATTTTTCAGAAAGCTTTGTCTGACCTTAAAGTGCTTTGTATGTACAATGTTCATGCATTAAAAAAACAGACCTGTAAAAATCTGAGCCATTGGCAGCTAGAAACTAGTTAGTCCCCCAGTTGTTTTAGGGGACTTTTAAAATATGTACGTATAATAAGAGGACAAATTTCTTGCCCATACAGCATAAGCAGACAAGCAAATTGCTAGTGCTTTAACAAAAGAGTCTCTGTTCCTCTTCATCCCTCTTAAAAGAAGAGACAGGAAAAAGGCTTCAGCAGCCTTACTCTGCAGTGACCTTTATTTCCCCTCACCGATTCCTGTAGTCCCTGAAAACAGGCAAGACAGACTGTCTACGGGCACTGGAAAGCAAGCGGGCAAATGCAGACAAATACAGTGCACAACCACTGACTGTGGTTATTAACTTCTTATCACAAACAACTAAATCCTAGGTTTTCAGAATGCCCTGACTCATGAGGCAAAGACTGTCTGTGGAAATGGGAGCGAAGCAATGGAGTGACTTGCTCCAAGCAGTTTTTCTCATTTAAATTCTGTGGAAATCTCACTGTCATTGAGTTCTTTGTGAATTAAGCTCATAGCCACTTTGTCGTGTGTGGCATTTTAATAAGGTCAGACTTAGAAAATTGTTAATTTAGTAATTGTCTGCTCACCATCATGTCCTTTCTGTGTTCTAGTAGAATTTGTACAAGCTGTAGCTTCATGTTTAGGTGGTTTTGGTTTGGGTTTTTTTTTTTTTCTCCAAAGGAACGCAGACACTGTTACAAAATAAACTGTAGGCTCTTCCCTGTGCCAGGGACTATGCTCAGCCTTCTTGCTTAAGAGAGATTTCCCAATTGATGTGATCCAAACAGGCATGACTGAGGCAAGAAGAGATACCAGCCAAGTGGAATAAGGTTGCAGAATAGCCTATTTCCTTGTCAAGACATGAAACTGAAACACATTTTCTTTTATGAATGCAAATAATGAGGTAGGGACTCTCAGAGCAGGAAACCTTGTTAACTTAAGGCAACTGAGTCTGTTCTCCTGCCTTCTTTTCCCTGTAAACTGGAGTTTAAGGTAATCATCTAATATCATTTAAGGAAGATGTGCAAAGATCTGCCATGACCTGGGTTCAGCTGTAATGACAGGAAGATTGTGAGGGGCCAAACACCATCACAGAACCATCATCATTGGCTATTGATCAGATATAGCAGAGTATGCTGGGAATACTCCTGGTATGTGTGTGTTCTGAGCTGAACTTCCAGGAGCTCTACTGGGGCAGGCTGTTAACACACACTTCCTGATCACATAGGAACAATTTTAACACCTGTTTGGGTGGTTTGTTTTTTTTTCTTGGAGTGAGTCCCTAATGTTAAATTAACTCCATAACTCCATCAGCCCTAGCTGTGGCGTGAGGCATGGAACAGTTATCCTGGCTTTATATGTGTGGTTAAGATTGTGACATAACCACACTGAAGAACAAGCTTACGTTATTTTAGTAGTTCTGTCTTTCCATAATGTGTGTAATAACAATACTGGTTTATGATTGGTAGAGTAGATGGAATCATACAAATGAACTTGCTAATTATCTCTTGTGTTGCTGCTTTTCTTTAGCACACTCTTAAACCTGTAGTCACTCTTCTGCCAAAGTATTTCTGTCTTTCCTTTATATGTATAAAGATCTTGTGGATGGAATGCTGCTCAGAAGTAGGAGTAGAGGGGGAGAAGAGTTTATTGGAAGGTGGTATCTGATATGTAGAAGAGCACAGGAAATTTTTTAACCCTCCCATCCTAGAGCTCTGTTCTTGCAGTTCTTGTACTCTCAGTGCCAGAGTCAGACTTTGTAGAACCTATGCAATTAATGTGTTGACCTGTATTTCTGATGGGAAGGTGACAAAAATACATACGTAAAAACTTAAAGATTATGTTTTGCCATACTAAGAGTGTAATACTCTTCAAACAGTGTATCGATAATGTCCAATCTGGCCTTTAGGAAAAACTTTACCTTTTCACATTTTTCTAAAAGTGTTTCCTTTTGAAAAGCAATTTAACTCTTCTTCTTTAAATGACATCTACCACAGCAGCATCAACTGAGATGAGTCCTTTTATCCATAGGTGGTGAGACAGCAAGCTTATCTGCTCTGTCAGTTAGATGTCATGTTACAACTGGAAAATGCTTTTTAGTTAGCAGTAAAGAATGTTACTTCCCAGGTTTCATACCACAAAGTATTGAGATATTTGTTGAAGATGTGGATCTGTTGAGATTGGGCCAGTTTGTTTGGCATTAATAGACAGTAATATGTTGCTGTATATTTGACAGTGAAGATTAGATGAAAGACACTTTGTTTACTTCAGACATAAAGGTGCAGACTCTGATTAAAAGTAGGAGTTTTGGCACTTAAACTTGTAAAAACAGATATTAAATAAACCTAATCATAGTAACACAGATTTTTGTTCTGTACCTACTTTCATGTGCAAGACCTTAACCCAGCTCTGTGCTTCTGTGTTTTCAAATGTAGTTACAGAACTGTTAGGAATTAATAAACCACTTTATGCTTGATACTCTATCCTCTTCTCACTTGTGGGCTTATGTGCACACAACTTGCAGTTGACTCTAAACTTGTTATGGTGACTCTTATTGCCTTTATAATCTTGACACCATTTTCTTTAAATCCTTAGTGAAGGAAATCTGGCCACAAAGCAAGTGGTTTTTCTTCAGAGACCTGTTATGTGGAATTCTGCTGTCCAGACACCAGAGGTAAGTAACATGTTTAATATAAACGAATTACTACTACACATAATAGGGACAGAAACAAACTCAACTTTAAAAATCAATGTGAAAAAAGTGGCAGAAGATGGTTTCAAAACAAACTCAGGTTTGTGGAGGGTTTTTGCAGTTGAACTCATAGGTTATTTTTTTTTTTCCTCAGCTGTATACCTCTCAAATCAAGCCACAGAGAAAAACATAAGCAGTTTTGTGCTAAGAAATTACTGTCTGAGGTGGATGGGATGGCTGTGCTGCGTAAGCATCCTTGAAGTGTCCAGCAAGTCTTAAATGTTCTGATTCAAGTCCTGGGTCTGGTGCACATGAAAAAACAAGCATTATGTTTTGACCTCCAAAACATCTACTTCCACACCTGTGTCAAGTGTCAGGCTGAGCAAGGGGTACTGTAATCTGGTGGTTAACAGGTCAAAGAGACGTTGGTTGTTGCTGCATGGAAGTGCGTGACAGAAACAGAGGACTTAAAAATTCCTGCAGCTGGACCTGAACAACTCCTTGTCCCTTTTGAGTGAGGCTCTCATAATAGTGGCTGTATAAAAGTGTTTTGAGGCTTAAGTAGTTGGCAGTCACTGTGTTCTGCTCAGTCAAGGTCAAACAGTTACTGCACCTGTACAGCATTACAGAAAAACATGCTCTGGCCAGAGGAGGATGAACTGATGGCTCTTCTTTGCCAAGTCCTTCAGTATCCCATGATGGATTTCTAATTTTTGTTGCTAGTGGTTTTTAGTGGCCATTCAACCTTTTTCTAAGTGTCGTGGCTTTGTGTGATAGTCTTAAGAGGCTAGGAAAACTATCGATGTTTTCACTTATGTCCAGCACTGGAGTGTAACTTCACGAACTGTCATGTGCTGTAAGGCAGTGACACCTGGTCTGTTCTTTCTCCCTCTGAGTAAATAGTTCCATGAATCTCTAAACTTGCATTCATATTTGTTCTTTTTCTATCCTTTTTATCTTCTGTCCAGACTGCTACTATTATCTGTATTTTTCTCCGCTTAGTGTTTCTAAAATATACTCTCCCTTTGGGGTGTTCTTGTTTTAGTTCAGGCTTTTGCTTATCTCCAGCTTAACTTCCTTGTCACGGTGTCCCCTGATAATTACTGCTTCCATGCTTGGAAGAACTGTATTAAATGTGCACAACTAAAGTCCTGGTTTGGGGTTCTTTTTTGTCTTTACCGTCATCTTGATTCCCAGCTAATTCTTGTGCATTATTTATAATCTATTTCCTAATCTACAAAATTTGACCTCCTTTTTTCTGTTCAGTGTTCTGCATAGTCTTCCTTGCCAATGTCTTTATCTCCTCTTCCATTTGTAACCTCTTCTAAATTCTGACAGTTCCTCATACCATTTTTTCCTTTAATTTCCTTCTATATACCAAGCATCTTTGACTTCCAGCTTTCAGAGCTTCTGACCCCTGCTCTCATGCATGACTGTTGTCTTTACATTCTTGCCTACTACATTTCTGAGAGTTTATTTTGGAACATAATTTTTATCAGTGTTGTAAATATATAAAACATTATCAAATAAAGTCATAACTTCTTGATGGTGTTTTTCTACATTTTTAATGCTCTGTATAATAAGGTCATGGGCACCTGATACGAATACTCTTTCTGTGGGGTCACATTATTCCTAGCTATGAGCATCTTTTAAAAGGTAGCATAACTAAATTACACAAGTAGAATAGTTAAAACCGGGTTCTGCCAAGAGACATAATACAAACCAGTTCCATAAAACTACTCAGTCTGAGGAACTGATGATTCTTTCGGACGTGGTTTAAATTAAAAATAGGAAGCATTAGGTTCAGTTTAAATTTTGTCACCCAACTATGAGGTGATCAGCAGCTGAATAACCTTTAAATTCTTTGGTTTATATGAATAAAACAGTGTGTTTTGTAGTCATTGTTTTATTTAGTAATGGGAAACGTTTAACTTAAGCATTAACGTTTTCCAAGTAAAGAAGGAATAGCTGATTTGTAGCCATTTACATCGGGATTACAGTGTTTTAAAATCTGAACATAGTTAGTGTCTGAATGTGTTGCTTAAGTACCAGTAAATGTTCTAATTTTCCACCAGGAAATTTCAGTATGCTGAGGTCATTTTAGCATGGGATGAATAGGTGGTTCGGGCTGAAGCTGAAACAGCGTAACATTTTCCTTCTGTTTTTCCAATTATGCTTTTTTCCCCTAAACTTTAATCATTTTACTTCAAAGCTCTTTTTACCAAAATGTCTGAATTCGCAAGTAGCATGTTACCTGCATTACAGTTGGAATTCATGTATTCGTTAACGATAACTAATGGGAATAGAAAGTCATGCTAGCTTTGCACTGGGTAGCTGGACTTCAGGTGCAAAACAAGCTACTGAAGTCTGACAGCATGAGCATTTCCTCTAGAAACTTTGGTAAATATGTTTGTTTAAAATATCTCCTAGACAGTGATGATAGAGCTGTATGGTTTTATCAAACCCTTGCAAAAATTTCGGTAATAACATTTAATTCCTGTGGCTCTATACTGCTGGGCATGCCATCTTCATCTTGATTTATACTGCATATGTTTTCATTGGAGTTTAAATTACAGTAAAGCTGGTTTTCAAAAAGAAAAGTGTGTCCACAACTTAGTTATTTCTGTGTTTCAAAGATGTCCTAAGAGACCTGAAACATTTTAATTTTTTAAAAATAAATAAATAGCCTCCCAGTTTGTCTGTCTTGTGAACATCCTAAGGATATGCTTAACTTGGATACCTCGAAGAATGCTGCCTGTGAGAGTCAAAATACAAAACCAGCATGGCTCTTTCCGTAGCTGAATGTTAGGAAAGCAGCTTCATGCAGGCCTTCTCAAACACCTAACTGTCAAGGCCCAAGAGCCTGGGCACAGCACTTTCCAGCTCAGCACAGCACAGAGGGGTCAGGCCATGGCCAGAGCTTTGCCCCACAGGCAGCTCCAGCTGCAAACTCTGACTTGTGGAGGGCGGTGACACTGGGTACAGGTTGCTTTGTGCACTCAGGAATTTTGTTTTGTTTTTTAATTGTTGGGTCGAAGTTAGATTGCCATTGCTAAAGGAAGCTTTGCTTCAGTAAAAAGTGAGGGGAAGACCTTTATTATGTGGTCTCTTATTCCCACAGGGCCTCTTTTCTGAGGCGGGTGTATTTTATATCCTCACAACCTGCCTTGTCTCCCTTCTCCTATATTCATGGGATAGTGCATTATGGTCTGGCTTTTGTTTTGTAACTGGTCAATACTCTCACATACCATTTGCTTTTCTGAGAAAATTGTTCAGAGGGCAGTATACAAGATTGAACCACACAGTTCTTTCTGGTTTTATTTTTGTTCTTCTCTCTTTCTTTCTTTTATTTCCCTTAGGCAGGCTTCTCCATCCTCTCTCACTGTGGCATCCAGGCAAGGCTTATTTCCTTCTGTTTCTCCTGAGGCAATGCTATTTCCCCTTAATCTAATTTCCCAATGTCTCCTGTAACAGCTTCCCTAAATACATTTCCTTTAGCCACAAGGGCCATTGTTTTTACTGTTTCAAAAGACTTTTGAGAAAAAACTTTTATCAAAATTTATTTATGGAGAACAACATGTATCTGTCAGACGTTTTTCTTCAGAGGAGTTCATAGTTTCAGCCAGCGTTCAATGCTGCCTTACGTTGAAATGCAGCTCACATGAAATCCGTGCATGACTTATTGCAGTGTTGGGCTTTTCTATCCTAAACAAGCTGATTTTGTATATTCTCTTGTATTTCAGAGGAAATCCTTAAGGCAGGTTATTGGGGAGGAAAAAGGCAAAGTCTCTAGCAGAAGTGTTGGCTTGGACACAGCTACTTCTCGGCCTGTAGAAGCTGGACAACCTCCTGATGAGTTTCACTTATCTTCTTCTAAACAATGTTGGATCAAGGAGGGATCCCCCCAGTATGGAGGCTTTCCAGGCTTCAGCAGCAGTGATGGAGTATTAAGGGAACTGGATGATGGACAGTTTGACCAGGAAGATGGAGTCACTCAGGTCACATGTATGTGATGAAGTAAGTAACGGCATCAGATGGACGTGTACATAATTCACACAAATGTTTTTTAAAAAACCCACACTACTTTAAATGCATTGGTATAATCCTATGACTTTTCCCAGACTCGCTTTGTATTTTTGTCTGTCGCTTTGTGTTAATCCTACTGTAGCAATAATTCTACTGCAAAATAATTGGGTTTTCTCTCTCGTTAATAGAGTAACTACATAACTGGGTGCTCTGCTGACTTGTTCATGCTTTTGACAGGCAAGGAAGCAAATGCTGCGCAGCAGTGACAGCTTGCATTGCGTAAGAGAAAGGAATGAGGATGTTTAGTATTTTCCACAAGATGGAGGAGTGTGGTGGTTTTTTTTTTTTTGAAGTGCGTTGTAAATATTGGTGTGGGAAACAAACTCTCTGGCTGTTGTTAAGTTTTAACGCAGTTTTCACTTTACTACCTTGCATAAATAGAAGAGCCTGGAAAAATGTTAAGCCTTACACTAGAGTGTTAGGAATTTAAGTGAGGTTCAGACTTGGCATGTACAGAAACCCTCTGGAGGCTGTCAGCAGATACTTGCTCCTGTGGTGTAATTTCACCTATGCAAGGCTTTACCAGGGTTCTGCCAAGCTGAAAGCTATCCAAGCACTTAGAGCTTGTGTAGTGAACTACTCACAACTTACTCACGAGTGGAAATTTAAGAACCACTCCCCCCTGAAAAGATAACTTGCAGTCTGTGAAAAAGTTGATTGAAAAACTCATTAAGCAGCGTGGACAGCAAGGTGCACAATGATGCTGACAGTACGTAGGAGGAAGTAGTAGGGGAATTTAATTCTTCACATGGAAAAGTCAACCTACGGGAGCCAAGATAGAGACCTGTAGAGTGAGTGGTGTGGAGAGGGTCGCAAAGGCGTAAATTCTTCAGTGTTTTTGTGATACGAGAACTCAAGGGAATCTCTCTGGAAGTCACGGAACCAGGTGCTGTTGGAGAGTGACTGCACACTTACCCTGTTCTCAAGATGACTGTAAGCACCGGTGCTTTGTCCCGGGTGGGCACGCAGCGGAGCATGCTCGCCTGCTGCAAGGCTTGCTGTCAGGAGTCGGGGCAAGGGAGTTGCTGGCTCAGCCTGTGAGAAGGCTGGGCAGGAGTTACCTGACTGCGTCTGCTAGTTGAAGAACACAGGAGAAACCACCTGTCTTACGAGGGTGTGGATGCCGAAACAGAAATAACTGAAAACGCTTCTAACACAAATGATGGAAAACCTTCCATTTCTCTGTGGGTAAAAAAATTCTGAAAGCCCATTATATCTTACCTGGGGAAGCGAGAAGGCAAGGGTGTGTTTTGTGTATAAGGGATTGTAATTTAAGCTGCTTGTTTCACCGCCTGGTCTCACACAAACTGGAGTGTTAAGGTATGCCTTTACTAGTGTTGTGATCAGCACCATCCATTAATTAAACCACACGTGTAAATTACGAGAGCTGTTAGGAAGAGTAATTTCAGCAAGTATCTTTGTATGCTCCTTTTTTATATATACACACACACTCTTCAGTTTTCATTTCACCAGAACATGTTTACCTACTCATCGAATCGCAAATCGGACCTAAAGCATGGATGTGGGCTTGTTTATACATTAACAGGGCTTCAGTTAGGAGCCTGTGTCTGACTGTAGCAGACCCTACCTCTGTGTGACAACACAACTGCCCTCCAGCTGTTGGAAAGAACTTTTATATATACACACACACTCTTCAGTTTTCATTTCACCAGAACATGTTTACCTACTCATCGAATCGCAAATCGGACCTAAAGCATGGATGTGGGCTTGTTTATACATTAACAGGGCTTCAGTTAGGAGCCTGTGTCTGACTGTAGCAGACCCTACCTCTGTGTGACAACACAACTGCCCTCCAGCTGTTGGAAAGAACAGAGACAGAAAGAACCAGTGCTGCTTATGAACCTCTGCGGGAGACTGTTTATGCTTGCTGATTATTAAGATGTTTGGAGAATTACTCTTCTAGTGTCTACAGGCAGGGAGAAACTTATCTACTGTAAAAAAAAAACCTTTGTGTTCCTATTTGTCAGAAGGGTTCATGGACATACTTGGTCAGCTGCAATAAACTGCTGCTTAACTTCCTGCGTTTCTGGTCTGTAAAACACTGTTTCCTCTAGTAAAGCTAAGATCTCACTTAGCTTTGATAGGAAGCTTCTGGCTGTTAAAGCACTTGATGCATCAGCTACCCCTTTGTTTGCTGCACTGACATTAAAGGGGTGGGTCAGCACACCCCTTTCCTCCAGCTACACCTGCCTTTCTGCGGTCTCCTCTGCACATCCACGCAGCTTGCAGGGCAAAGCTTGGTAAGCCTCACAGCCACCTACTAACAGCTGATCAGGCATTTTGCCCTTAGTATGTTGGTCTCGGGGAGGTTCAAAGTGCAGGCTGCTGTCTTGACAGTTCTTGATGGCTTTGTTCAGCCCGGCGTCAGTCAGGACTTGGACTTTTCAAAGCCCAAGTCTTGCATCAGCTCTTGACAACTGGTATGAATTGGAGAAGTGAATGTTCCAGACTTCAGGTAAGGGTGACTCGAGAGCCCGTCTGGTTCGGAGGAGCTGGTCTGGTGACACAGTCTGATCTGTTCAAGCAGATAACCTGTGACATCATCTGAGAGAATTAAAGTCTTGAAAGGACATTAGCAAAATGGCTGTGGCCGACTTGTTGTGATAAGCCAAGCCAAGCATGAGGAAACACCTCGGTGACTAAGGAAGAAGTCATTTGGAAGTTACCCTTTGCTTACAACACACCCGTGGACCTGTGATGTGCTGTTGTAACGCGCTTATTTTCTCTTCCAGTTCTCCCTTTTTAATTGTAGAACCAGAGCTTTCTGGTTTGAGATGTATGAACTGGCAGTCTGAGTTAGAGGCTAACGAGTACTGTATTTCTCTGCTTCTGAAAGAAGAAACAACTCCCCTGCAGCACACCTCGTAGCAGGGAGGGGAGAGCACCAAACATTCTCTTGGAAGCATGCCGTTGCCTGCACTCCTGGACACTGTGAAAAATGAGACAATAACTTGCCAAAATACAGCGGTATGGGTAAAGAAACAGTTTAATCTTATCCTTTTTTTTTTTACAGTATAATTCAAAGACAGTCTCAGTTTCCCTATAATGTAAAGTCTAGATTAAATGTGTTAATATTTATTAGACAAATCAATGGTTTGCTTAGGCTAACTGAAGTTCTATGGTACCATTCAGGCACATGTGTGTACATAGTACTCATGTAAACAATAGTGAGGGAAAATACAAGCAGTGTTTTACTTAGACCTTATATAAAACCAGCTCAGTATAGCAAGTCAGCTTTACAGTGCAAATCTGAATGAGAATGAACAGGATTAAAACTTCGCGAGTTCTGAAGTGAAACTCTTAAAGCATAGGCGGAAGAGAAGAGGTTGGAAATCTGAACGCAGTCCTGAGCACCACACGACTTTCTTCGTTTTTGAGGAAACGTCCCTAGCGACACCCAGTGCTGTTTGCCTGTCTCGGGCAGTGGGGCCAACACAAGCCTGCAGAGTGACTGCACAAAAGCCACGCCACGGATGGTCCTACAGCCCACCGTAACATAACTATGTACCTTTTGCTGCCTGCTGAGTACAGCCCTCCCACCTGCGGGACGAACTGGAGAGCTCTCCAGCCCACTAGCCTGCCTGCACAGGGCAAGCTGCAGCTGAGCGTGTGGTGGGTAACTGAAGCTGCTCACACTCGGGCAGCTCCTCAAGCAGTTACCCTGCTGACAATTATACAATGATAAACGTGAGCCAGAGAGCTGCTGCAGAACACAGCTGCTGAAGTACTTCAGCTTCGTGTCTCTGTTTTCTCACTGGTTAAATTCCCTTTACAGCCCGTTGCTTGAGGTGTGCTTGATTCGCATAAAGAAAAGGAGAATTTAAGGCATGTTTTGGATAATAGGAAAAAAGACATTAAGAATAGGTGGACTCCCTTCTTTCCAAGTAAGGTAATGCAGAAAACAAAGTGTAGATTGTAGAAACTAGCTGAGTTATCCCAGTCTGACCTGCTTAAAGAAATGAAGAGGGCCCCTGGCAACCTCAGAGAAACAACCAGCCAACCTGTGAACAGCCAAGCAAAACCCAGTTAACAGGAGAATGCTGCTCGTGCTTTTCGACCCTGCATTCATGTATGCATAGCACTACGTCTGCTAGGTTCATCTCCAACACACCTAATTCTGTCATTCCAGACATAACACAATTAAGCAGCACTCATGGAAATAGTCGATTTTTGCAAATCTGCAAATGTGACTTGCAATAAACATCTGATAGGGAATGTAAGGATGGATCCAAATCTGTCTGTCACAGAACGTAATTCAGGTGACTGAAGAAAAACAAGGTATGTTGAAAACAGGATGAACCCTTGCAAAGAGTCAGGTTCAGTTTTCAGGTGCTTAGAATAGGAACACAAGCAAAAAGAGGGTGCTAGTGTGTTATGTAGTGTGGCATGAGTATGCATGAGGTATTGTCTGTAAGCAGCTGCCATGGGCACGCAGAGGTGTAAGCCAAGAGTTTTCTGCCAGAGCTGCTCTTTGGAGAAGTTGGACTGGTGCACAGTGCAAGTCTGCCTTAGCAGGACAGAACCTGGCCCCTGCTGCGCCCAAACCTCCACTGCTAGCAAGAACAAGTCCAGAAGCTACGTTAGAGATCTGTGTATCGAGAGTATATCTGCTCAACAGCCTAGCAAGACTGCCCTTTTGGCATTACTAGCGCTATACGCCCTACTGGCGCTTGGATAGACACGTACAGGGACATGGACATCCAAAGGTAAACCTTCAAAGCCATCTTAAAAAATAACAACTAAATTAGGAATAAGCTACAAGTTGCAAGAAGCGTCCTGCAGCATTATATGTTTAAGGTGGTAATCTTTAAGACTTAATAGAGCTACTGCATTAAATACCAGCTTGCTGTGCAATCTTCCTCTCACTGTTTGTCCCCACCCAATCAGACACATCTTCAGGATTGTGATTCAATGATTGTTTAGCAGCAGTTTTAGAGAACTGTAGATTCTTTTATTAACAGGCATTATAAACAGATATACTACTACTTTTATTTAAAAACCATGAGTGCCACATTGATGAATATACAGCCCATGAATAACTTAAAGTATTTCCCATATTAAAAGGCAATGCACACAGCATACAAAAAGTGTACTAAACAAAGCTA